CCAGAGTTAATGAGTGGATGGACGGTTGAGACATCCCACATCCCTCAGCTCTGGATCGTTTCATCCCCAGCACACAAAGAATGGCTTGTGGCATGCAAGTGGCTTGTCCTCTTGCAGCAGATCCAAGCAACGTGCCAGCTGGGCACGCGGTCCCAGCATCGGGGACCCAAAAACAAACACTGGCTGAAGCACTAAGTGCTCTTTCCACACTTGTGAACAGACACTCGTGTTTGCTCTTCCCTGTGCAAACACAACAAAAGCCACAAATCCCTGATGCTCACCAGCCCTGGCTTTGCCAGCAGCCTCCTGGAAACCAGCAGCAGAGAGAGAAACCCTTGGCCAAGGTGAGGAGAAGGGCAAAGAGCCCTGAGTGGGTCAGCAACACCCACAGGGCAGAGGTTCCTCTGAAGGGACACCTGCAGCCTGAGGAGTCCCAAACCAACACCCTGGCACACAGACCCACCCAAGGCAGTTCCAGTCCCATGCCTTGGCACACAGAGACACATCCAAGAGGGTTGCAAACCCATGTCCTGGCACACAGCCTCACCTAAGGGGGTTCTAACCCCACAGCCTGGCACACAGACCCATCCAAGGAGATCCCAACCCCACACCCTGGCACACAGACCCATCCAAGAGGGTCCCAAACCCATGTCCTGGTACACAGACTCACCTAAGAGTGTTCTAACCCCACAGCCTGGCACACAGACTCATCCAAGGCAGTTCCAACCCCATGTCCTGGCACACAGACCCATCCAAGAGGGTCCCAACCCAACGCCCTGGCACACAGACCCATCCAAGAGCCGTTCCAGTCCCATGTCCTGGCACACAGACCCATCCAATGGGGTCCTGGTCCCATGCCTTGGCATACAGACCCATCCAAGAGGGTTGCAATCCTGTGCCCTGCCACACAGACCCACCCAAGGCAGTTCCAGTCCCATGCCTTGGCATACAGACCCATGCAATGGGGTTGCAATCCTGTGCCCTGGCACACAGACCCACCCAAGGCAGTTCCAGTCCCATGCCTTGGCATACAGACCCATGCAATTGGGTCCCAATCCCACACCCTGGCACACATACTCACCCAAGAGGGTTCCATTCCATCCCCTGGCACACAGACCCACCCAAGGAGATCCCAACCCCACGCCCTGGCTCAGCCACCCACCCCGCGCCGCGGCCTTACCGGAGATGAGCTGCCGGCGGCGGTGCAGGAAGGTCTGGCAGGCTGTGTAGTCCCGGTAGACGATGTTGAGGCCGATGCTGTGGCTCTCCAGCCAGTGCACGGTGGCCAGGCCGCGGGCACACACCTCCAGCGCCCGCACGCGCAGCGCCCCGCGCAGCTCCAGCTGCACCCGCCCGTGCAGCAGCTGCCCACCGCCATGGGCCGGGCCGTCCTCCAGCCTCACCGCCAGCCTCCGCACCCGCCCCGGCGGCTGCATGGCCGCTGCCCACGCTGCCCACGCAGCTCCAGGAGGATGGTGCCTGCCCGCAGCTTTCCAGGGAAGGGAGGAAGAGCAAAGGCTGCACCAAAATTCCTGAGTTTATCGCGGTTCCCGGCTGGCCCCACCCTGCAGGCCTTCCCGGGGGTTGGGCTGAGCCCCTGTTTTGCAGCGAGGCTTCAGCGCTGGGCTCGTGTGCGTGACGTTGTCCTGTAGTGACGAGGGACGTGTTTTTAAACTGAGAAAAAAACGTGCCTCCATCTTATCTCTGAGTCACAGACACTGGCGACGTGACACCGGGACGTGCTGGTGGCAGCGCTGGCAGGGAGGGGTGACACACGTGCTGGCAGATCCCACACAGCGGGCAATCCAAGAAAGCCTCTTTGGCCTGCCCGCTTCAGGCATTCCTGGGGCACTGCTGGAATGGGAGAGGAGCTCAGAAAGCAGAGGGCCTCGCTCCAAAAACCAGCTTTGCTTTCCGTGTCTGAAGTTGCACTAAAATCCACGTGAAAAAGAATGTGAATAATCACAGGGACTCCCAGCAACAGCTCTCCCAGCCAGCTGGTGCCTCCAAGGGTGATTCCAGCACTTATCTCCGTGGCTGTTCCTGCAGCAGCACAGGTGGCAGTGCCACCTCAGGGTCACATCAAAGGAATGGGGCAGACCTGGAGCAGATGCAAGTCCCTGTTACTCCACCAATTGTTGCAACTGAGGTGTTTGACAACGTGCTGGCATGAGGGACTGATGGGAGTGCCTGTGTGCACTTGGAAGATGTGAGTGCACGGCTCCTTTGAAGCACGTGTGGAGCAGAGATTGTCTCATTCCTGAAAAATAAAGAGTCAAATCCATAAAGGGAAGCACGAGGCTCGTGGGCCCGGGCACTGCTCACACACAGAGTGAAGCAGTTGTGAAACTTCACTGGCCCCGTGCTCAGAGGGTCCCGAGGAATCAAAGCCATGTGCATGAAAAGGCTGAGAAGAGCTTCTCAAGTGGCAGCTGTGCCACCCTGCTCGCTCAACAAACCCTAAGAGAAGGGGCTGGCGATCCCTCTGGAACACACCTAGATCCCAAACAGAGTTAGTGCAAGCTCAGCAGTCAGGAAGCCCATGTGAGCGACCAGCTCAACAAAAACACAGGGCTCACCTCCAGGAAAACAGCCCGCTCATCACAACTGGCCAGAGCTGCCTCGCTGCCCTACTGTTCACTGACCTTTGGTTGCAGGCCTTGACACCAAAATCCAAACAGAAAATAAGGGAATATCCCATCCCCCACGCAGCCCTGGTGCTGCCTCTCGCCCTGTTTGATCTCCTGCCCTTTTTCTGTGCCTCCCCCTACCCCAACTGCTCCCTTCCACCCCAGAGGCACCATGGCTCCTGCCATGCTGAGGGATGTGTCACCCACGCCTTTGGGCTAATCTCCTAGTGTTTATTCTTGCTGTCACAACACCTCCTTGTGTCCTCATTCAATCTGAGAAAGAGATGTTCCCTGTGACAACACACAGCCGGGCCAAGAGCAGAGCACAGGGACGGCTCTGAGATCCCACGCCGTGTAGGCAGCTCAGAGTGCGTCAGCAGCTGCTGGAGGAGGGAGGACATCACCTTCCTCTGGGGACAGGGCCCTGCCAGGGTCCCCATGGGGACACAGCTCCCTCGGGAGTTTGCCTTTTGGATTTCTGTGGGCTTGGGTGTGAACTCGCCTCTCTGCTCAGCCCCGCAGAGGTTCTGTGCCCTGCTGGGCAGCCCCTGGGATGAACATTTCATCTGAGGAGACACAACAGCTCTCAGCTCACTGGATGGGGCTGAGAAAGGGGCCGGTGGCACCACTGAGCCTGGCAGCCCCAAGATCTGAGTGTTCTTACCTAAAGGGTCACCCCACCTGGGCAGCGGCAGCATCCTCTGTCTCCGGGCACACGCTCAGCTTTCTCTGCAGGTGGTGCAGAGGTGTCTACCCTGCCTGGACACCTCTAGCCACGACAATTTTCCTCCTCTGACCCTCTGTGGGGGACTTCAGCCCCATTCTACCTCCCTCCAACACTCCCTGGCTTAGGGATTTGGTTGCCTGTCCTCCCTCTCCCTTCAAAATATTTCTCATCTACAACTCTGCTCCCACCTGAGGCTGGAGCAGACAGGGTTTGGTGCTCACTGGTCCAGCTCAAATAGCTCAGGAGCACACTCCAAGGGTATAAACCCACTTTCCCTGTGGTTAATCCAAGCCTGTTAAGGCTGTGCCTGCTGTGGCACGTCTTTGGGGAGTCCCTCTGCTGCCTGTGTGGCACCAGCATGGCTGGCGTGGTTCTGACAGAACTTTCATCTGCTGATAGATGGAATCAAAATAAAAATTAAATTCGAGGCAGTAAATTAGGAGGCAGTCACAGATACCTGTGTGCATTTCCCTTGCTGACAGAAAAAGGCCAGTTCTGCCATCAGCACTTTGCTCAAAACCCTCACCCAAACAGAAAACAGCTCTCGGGGTGAGGAGGCAAATGAAGAAATTCACATGGCAATTATGGGAACATCACTCCATATGGTAGTTGTGGAGCTGCTCCAGAAATTTAGGGCCAAGGAAAAGACTGATTCAGCTATGATCTGTTCCATTTGTTGATTTAGCAAATCAAATGGCTTAAACACCGATCCATGGCATGAAGGGACCTCTCTCTGAACTGCTGGACAAACAGGAGGCAGCGTCAGAGGAGGATTTTCTTAATGCCTTCCATGAGCAGCTCTAACCACATCCCTTCCTGAGGTTGCATAAGCACAGCTTTTGATCAAAATCCTTTCCTTCCTCCCAAAAATAAATGTAAAACAACTTTTAAAAACAAATGTAGCGATGATGAAAGATCAAGACACTGATTCATGTCCCAGAAATAATTCATTTTATTCATTTTACGTAAGGAAGTAGCAAAGGGATTGACACCAGATTGCAGTGAGGTGAGTCACGAGACTGTGAGACAAGGATGTGCTGCACCAGGTGGGAAACTGCAGCATCTGAGGATACAGCAAGTGTGGAACAACAGAATCACTGAATATCTCACGTGGGAAGGGACCCACAAGGATCTCAAGTCCAGCAGCAAAAGCTTGGCTGGGAGTGGCTCTGCTTAGTGCAGAACCTGTTTCATTAAATCAAATTGATTTATTCCAAGGATGATTTAATCAAAGGTTCTCCCCAGGGAATGGTCCCGGCCCCAAGGCTGCCAGAGCTCCAGGAGCTGCCAGGGCTGCTCAGGGTGGGGGTGCTGGGGTGGCTGAGCAGGGACAGGGGCTGCCCTGAGCATCCCTGAGGGATCCAGCTCAGGATATTCTGGGATTCTGCGATACTCGGCTATAAAAAGGCAAAATATCCAAGTAGTTCTTAGAGCTTTAATTAGCAGCAGTGAGAGTGTGACTCTGTGCCCAGCCTCTGGACCCACCAGAGCCCAGGGGAAGCGGGAGGGATCCATGTGCTGAGCACAGGTGTAGGAGGATGGAGAGAGCCCCATTTCTGTCTCCACACAGATTTTCCCCTCCCAGCACTCAGCCGGGGGCTGGGGGGTCCCTACAGGTGGCACAGGGGACGATCTCCCTGTCTCCAGGTGATGTGGAGATCTGTGTGCATGTGAGCTCAGGAGCGTCGGGGCACAACGGGGACTGCCGTCCGCAAGAGCCTCTTCAAGATGGGTTTCCCAGATTTCTCTGAACCAAACCCGGCCTGGCCCAGCATCGCCACAGAGACCAGCCTGGACCCCCAGAACGGGGAGACTGGGGGTGAGAAATTGGCTGATGGAGGATTCACTGGAGGGGTGTGGAGGACGTGAGGGGCACGGAGGCCGTGAGGGGCACGAAGAGCAGGACCCAGCCCCGACCGGGCACCATCCCCGGTAGGGCACCAGCCCCGGGCAGGCCCCGGCTGGGCCGCGGGGCAGCCAGGCCGCGTTGCCATGGCGACGGCTCCTCCTCCTTCCCGACGTGCCCCGCGCCCGCACGTGACGTCACACCCGGAAGTGTTGCCATGGCGGCGGGCGCGCTCTGGGGGCTCGTGGCCGCGCTGGAGACGCACCGGGGCCGCGACCGGGCGGTGAGTGAGGGGCGTGAGCCCCCCGGTACCGGGCGGGGAGTGGAGAGGGGCTCTGAACCCGCCGGTACCGGGCGGGGAGTGGAGAGGGGCTCTGAGCCCCCCGGTACCGGGCGGGGAGTGGGCTCTGAGCTCTCCGGTACCGGGACCCGACTCTGCTGTAGCGACCGCCGTTAAGGGCAAGGAAGCACCGGAGGGATTCGTAAGTGCTCGGTGGGGGAAAGGAGAAAGGGGCCGGGACCCGACTCTGCTGTAGCGACCGCCGTTAAGGGCAAGGAAGCACCGGAGGGATTCGTAAGTGCTCGGTGGGGGAAAGGAGCGACAAAAGGCGGAGGGGGCACAAACACACAAACAATCCAAGTTTTCCCGGTAAATGAGGGGATGGAGACGGGAATGGGAGTCCCGGAGCGCAGCGCAATGGGGGTGGGCAAAGGGAAGAGAATTTGAAGAGGAAGAGGTGAATGAAAGGAAGGAGACGAGAAAGAAAGAGGGGGAAAAAAGAGAGAAAAAGAGAGAAAAGGCTGGGCATGCCAGCACAGCTGGCGGTCGGTACCGGCGCTGAGCGGGCCGTGCCCCCGCAGCTCCGGGCGCTGTCCTACGGCTGCCAGCTGGCGGGGGCAGCGCTGCCCGGCCCCGCGGGGCTGCCCGGGGGGCTGCTGGCCGCCTCCGCCCAGCTCAGCTCCTGCCGCACCGCCCTGCGCCTCTTCGACGACCTGGCCATGCTCCGGCACAGCTGCAGCTACGGGCTGGGCCCCGAGGTGAGCGCGGCCCCGGAGCTCCCGGGGCTCCCGGGGCTCCCCCCGAGGTGAGGGGGCTCCCGGGGCTCCCCTACCCCGGGGCTCCCGGGGCTGCTCCCGGGGCTCTCCCCGAGGTGAGCGTGCCCCATGTCCGTGCCGCTCCCCGCAGGGCGAGGACGCGCTGGTGCGGGGGCTCTCGGTGCTCTGCAACGTGGCCAACCAGCTGTTCTACCCCTGCGAGCACCTGGCGTGGGCCGCCGACGTGGGCGTCGTCCGCGCCGCCCCGCAGAAGTGGTGGGCGCGCAGCACGGCGCTGTGGGGCTGTGCCCTGCTGCTGGGCATCCTGCGGTACGCTGGGCACGGGCTGCCCTGGCACCGGGCTAGGCAGAGCTGGGGGGGGTGATCTGCGGTACGCTGGGCACGGGGCTGCCCTGGCACCGGGCTAGGCAGAGCTGGGGGGGGGGTGATCTTCCTCGCTGGGGCTGTTAGTGCAAGAGGAATGAAGGAAAAAGTGAAACTCCTGCTGTTTGGTGCTGTAGGAGGAATTACTCTTGTGCTTTTCAGATCCCTGAGGATTTTGTTCCAGTTAAGAAGAGAACTGAGCCAGCACAAGTGGTATGATTTCCCTGGCTGTAGAGCTGATCATGCAATCCCAGAGTGGTTTGGGTTGGGAGGGACCTCAGAGCCCATCCAGTGCCAGCCCTGCCATGGCAGGGACACCTCCCACTGTCCCAGGCTGCTCCCAGCCCTGTCCAGCCTGGCCTTGGGCACTGCCAGGGATCCAGGGGCAGCCACAGCTGCTCTGGGAATTCCATCCCAGCCCCTCCCAGGGAACATTTTCTCCCCAATATCCCATCCAGCCCTGCCCTCTGGCAGTGGAAGCCACTCCCTGTGTCCTGTCCCTCCATGCCCTTTTCCAAAGTCCTTCTCATCTCTCCTGTAACTCACCCACACCTGCCAGTTCTCACCTGCAGCCATCACAGCTCTGAGGACATGCTGGACTAATGTGGGAAATGGATTTGTAGGGAATTCTCAGAGTCTGACAGAAGGCTCACACAGTGTGCATCTGTGTGCAAAGCCTTAGATAAGGAATGCTGACTTAGAAATGCCATGGCATGGGACAGACGTTGCTGGGAGAGAAAGGGAACTGGAAACAACTTTTAAAGGATGGTTTTGTAAATAAGACTGGATACTTTGGAGAAATAGAACAATGAAATGTGGTAGGACCCACAACGGGTAATTTTAGATTATTGCCTTTAATGCATTTGCAGCATGGTGTGGATACCCATGAAGGGTAATTTTAGATTATTGGCTTTAAGGCATCTGCAGCATGGTGTGAATAAAGCTGATAGGCCAATAAACACTTATAATGTAATTAGGAAATAGTTAATGGGACCCATGAAGGGTAATTTTAGATTATTGGCTTTAAGGCATCTGCAGCATGGTGTGAATAAAGCTGCCAAGAAATGCTTATGATGTATTGTAATTAGGAAATAGTTAATTTCTGATTGTGATGGTGTGAATTACAACATCTGTATTGTCTCACCCTTCACATGAGAGTGAAAATGGAACAAAAGTTGTTAAAAGACCTCTCAGTTACCCCATCGCTGGGTCAGAAAAGGGTTCAGTCTGACAGACTGTCACTGACATCTCCTTTTCCTCCAGCAGCACTTCACCTCAGAGGCAGCAGCAGCTGAGAGCCCAGGTGAAGGCTGAGCTTCTGAGCATCCTCATGGACACAGCAGATCTCTCCAATGCAATCCACTGGCTGCCCCCAGGATTCCTCTGGGCAGGAAGGTTCCCTCCGTGGTTAGTAGGACTCCTGGGGACCATCTCCTCCCTGATTGGAATCTACCAGGCATCAAGAGGAGCAAATTCTGAAGCTGCTTAAGCCAGAACTGAGCTTCACAAGCCCAGTTTACACATGGTAAAAGTGCCTTCAGTGAGGCAGGGTTGGTGATTTCCTGGGTTGATGATTGTCCTTCCAGAGACCCCACAATCAGGACTGGAATCCAGGTTCCTATTGCAGAAGGGATTGTTTGCAGCTGATAATTTTTATCGCTCTTAATCAGAGAAATAATTCAGGTGAATCCTCTGAAAATCAAGGATCTCTTGCAGTGGGTAAAACTGAGGGGGAAAGAGTTGCTTCCATCTGTCCCAAAAGGTAAATGCAACCTGCCAGTGCTTTCTGCCACTTACAGGAGCACAGTGGCCACGGTTCTGTCACAGAGAACTGGTGAGGGATGAATCCTGGGAGCTCACACAGGATGGGACCCCTGTCCTGGGAGTCTCCGGGTGTTTGGGCTCAGACAGGAGCCAGCAGGGCTGTTGTTTGGTGTTGTTTGTGACCGTTGTGTTTCCTCAGAGGTGAGAAAGGCAGGAAATTGCCGCTGGACCTTCCTAGCCTGCCTTGCCCGTTTAAGGAGGAATGCTGGAAGTGGAGGCTTCCCCCAGAGCTGTGCCTTTGTGGAGTGCCACCGGGTGGAGCTCTTCCACCAGGCTCTGGCAGCCACTGACCTTTTTTTTATTTAAAAAAAAAAAAAAGGCAGGAAATTTATTAATCGCCTTTCAAAGGAGCAATCAAACCATGCCGAGGTGGGGTTTGCAGTTACAGTTCTGGGCGTTGCCAATAATAAACGACACAAACGCTTCAGAGGTGGCCTTGAGTGATCATTCCTGCTGATAACAGGGAGAAGTTCTTTATCTTTGGTTCTGGAAAGCTCCAAAGCATTAGTGGCAGCTCGACCTGTGTCACCAGCCTTCCTCCTGCCTGAGAGCCATGGAAATGCATCCTTTGCAGAGAGTTCTGCTTACTCTGCGTGTCCCTGCCCCCAGCAGGCACATGCTGCCCTTCCAGCAGCTCTGACCTTGCTTTGTGGGCTTGTTTTTGGCCTGGCACGGGGAGCTGTGTCCTGCCTGTGTTCAAAGAGCAGCGTGAGGCCTGGATACTCTTTATCCTTTGCCCTGTCCTTGGTGTTTATCTGGACCTTCACCCTGCAGTGTCCCTGGGCATGGATCTGTGCTGCCACACTGACAGCATTTGGTGCAGCTCAGGTGGAGGAGACTCCTGTTGATTCTGTCCTCAGTCCCGTGCCTGAACAGGTCCTCTGGCTGTTGTCTACTCCTGTCACCCACTGTGGTGGCTCCTGCTGCAGTTTAGTGATTTTTAATAATAAATCAGATTTCTTTTGTGTTCTTAACCCCATTGAATCATTCCTCCAGGACTCGGTGTACTGCTCAGCACAGGACAATTATATGAGGTATTCATATACTATAGTATTAATACTAATACTATACAGGACACCAATACCACAAAAAACAAAAACAAACAAAACCCCCCCCCCAAAAAAACCCAAAAAACAAACAAAAAAACAGTCAAGAAACTTTGCATAACCTCTGATGCCAAATGAATAAACCTCTTAACCATGCATTAATTTTAATGTAGAAAAAGGACACTGTAAACTGCTCTAAGTGCATCTGCTTCATCAGCTCCTCAACAAATAATTTTTTGCAGCTGGTAAAGCTGGAACGTGCAGAGATAAATCAAAATTGGGTAATTCAGAATTTCTGGAATTTGTATTTTTTTTTTCTGGAGGTGGTTTTGATCCCTGCTGACACACAGTGTTTAGACACCCGTGCTGGCTGCTGCTGCCTCTCCAGGGCAGCACACTCATTTTTAGCACAAGACCTTGTGCAGGCAGACCCGATCCTCGCAAAACTCGGTGATTTTCTTCTCTTTTCTGATGTGGCCTCTGACAGAGGGCGAGTTCCTTCCCTTGGCCAGGAGAGCAGCCTGCCCGCTGCTGGTGCTATACTAATACTATACAGGACAATTGTAGTTCTGCCAAAAACAAAACAACAAACAAACAAACAGAAACCCCCAAACAAACAAACAAAAACCCCCAAACAAACAACCAAAAAAAACCCCCAAAACCCCAAAACAACCTAAAAAACAAAAAAAACCCACCAAAATCAAAAAACCAAAACCAAACAAACAACCAAAAAAACCCAAAAAAAGACCCCCCCCAAAAAAACCCAAAAAACAAACAAAAAAACAGTCAAGAAACTTTGCATAACCTCTGATGCCAAATGAATAAACCTCTTAACCATGCATTAATTTTAATGTAGAAAAAGGACACTGTAAACTGCTCTAAGTGCATCTGCTTCATCAGCTCCTCAACAAATAATTTTTTGCAGCTGGTAAAGCTGGAACGTGCAGAGATAAATCAAAATTGGGTAATTCAGAATTTCTGGAATTTGTATTTTTTTTTTCTGGAGGTGGTTTTGATCCCTGCTGACACACAGTGTTTAGACACCCGTGCTGGCTGCTGCTGCCTCTCCAGGGCCACTCGCTCATTTTTAGCACAAGACCTTGTGCAGGCAGACCCGATCCTCGCAAAACTCGGTGATTTTCTTCTCTTTTCTGATGTGGCCTCTGACAGAGGGCGAGTTCCTTCCCTTGGCCAGGAGAGCAGCCTGCCCGCTGCTGGTGCTGCCGATGTGGGCCGGGTTTCACAGCCCCGTGCAGGAGGGCATGGCCGAGCAGGGCTGGCTCTCGGCCGTGCCCGCCTTTGTCAGCAGCCGCCATCCAAAGGCCGCGGGCGGGCGCTGCCGGGCCCCGCGGCTGCCCCGTTTATGGCCCTTTATGGCGGGGCCACTCCGTCCGCAGGGCTCGGGAGCCTCAGGTGCGCCGTCCCGGCCCCGTGCGGCGATGCTGGGACCGGGGGACACGGGGGGACATCGGGGGGACATCGGGGACCCCGCACACGCGGGGAGGGGACCCGGCCACGCTGCCCGCGGGCAGGGCGGGTGAGCGAGCGGCGCATGCGCACGGCTGGCCCCGCCTGCCATTCACAAAGGCAGAGCACGGCGCGCCGCGGCCGCTGATTGGCTGCGGGGCGGGAGGGGGCGGGGCCGACCCGGGGCGGCCACGCGGCGGCGGCGGAGGGGCGGCGGCAGAGCCGGAGCGGAGCGGGACCGGGCGGGACCGGGCACCGGGTACGGAACCGGGCACGGGATAGCGGGGACCGGGCGGGACCGGGAACCGGGTACGGAACCGGGCACGGGATAGCGGGGACCGGGCGGGACCGGGAACCGGGAACCGGGTACGGAACCGGGCACGGGATAGCGGGGACCGGGCGGGACCGGGAACCGGGAACCGGGTACGGAACCGGGCACGGGATAGCGGGGACCGGGCGGGATCGGGAACCGGGTACGGAACCGAGTACGGAACTGGGTGCGGGATAGCGGGGACCGGGCGGGACCGGGAACCGGGAACCGGGTATGGGATAGCAGGGACCGGGCGGGACCGGGAACTGGGTGCGGGATAGCGGGGACCGGGCACGGAACCGGGTACAGAACTGGGTGCGGGATAGCGCGGACCGTGTGGGGCCAGGTACGGCACCAGCTATGGAACCAGGTGCGGAACTGGATACGGGACCGGGTACGGGATAGCAGGGACCATGCGGGACTGAGAACAGAACCGGGTGCGGGACCGGGTACGAAACCGGGTACGGGATAACGGGAACCGTGCGGGACAACGGGACCAGGTGTGGGACCGCGGGGCCGGGTGCAGAATAACCGAGTCAGGCGCGGGACAGCGGAGCCGGGTGGGGGAGCCCTGAGCTGGGTGCGGGACCGCGGGGCGGGCTGGGCACGGGCATCACCGGGAGCGCACATCTCCCACTCCCGGTACCGCGTGAGGCCCGGCGGAGTCGTGCACTGAACGGGTCCGGGAGCTCCCGGTGCTCCGTTTCGGTCGGTGCCTCGAGGCTGACCGATGCTCCCGGCGCCCCGTTACCGGCCAGCACCGCGCTCCTCCCGGCGGCCGCCGTCCCGCCGCAGCCCCGGCCGTGGCGGGCCCGGGGCCGCGCTGCCCGTGCTGACTCGCCGGTTTTGCCTCGCAGAGCAGCCTCAGCACTATGTCCGTCAGCAGCCACGAGAACCGGAAATCCCGCTCGAGCTCCGGCTCCATGAACATCCACCTCTTCCACAAACCGGGCCACGCCGACAGCCTCCTGACCCAGCTGAACCTGCTCCGCCAGCAGAGCCTCTTCACCGACGTGGTGCTGCGGGCGGGGAACCAGAGCTTCCCCTGCCACCGCGCCGTCCTGGCCGCCTGCAGCCGCTACTTCAACGCCATGTTCAGCGGGGGCCTGAAGGAGAGCAGGGACGCCGAGGTCAACTTCCACGACTCGCTGCACCCCGAGGTGCTGGAGCTGCTGCTGGACTACGCTTACTCAGCGCGGGTGCTGATCAACGAGGAGAACGCCGAGTCCCTGCTGGAGGCCGGGGACATGCTGCAGTTCCAGGATATCCGGGATGCTTCGGCTGACTTTCTGGAGAAGAATCTCTACCCTGGGAATTGCCTGAACATGCTGCTGCTGTCCGATGCCCACTGCTGCGAGCGGCTGCTGGAGCTGTCCTGGAGGATGGCCTTGGCCAACTTCACCTCGCTCTGCAAGACTGAAGATTTCCTCCGGCTGCCCAAAGACAAGCTGCTGGAGCTGGTGGAGAGCGAGGAGCTGGAGGTGGAGGACGAGACGCTGGTCTATGAAGCCGTTATGGGCTGGATCCGCTACGATTTGCCCCGGCGCCACGAAGTTCTGCCCGAGCTGCTGCGCTCCGTCCGCCTGGCCCTGCTGCCCGAGTCCTACCTGCGGAAGCAGGTGGCCTGTGAGAAGCTGGTGACCAGCCACAAGCTGGGGGAGGAGATCGTGGCCGACGCCGTGCGCTGCAAAATGAAGATCCTGCAGAACGACGGCCTGGTGACGGGCTGCTGCGCCCGGCCCCGCAAGGTCAGCCAGGCCCTGCTGCTGCTCGGGGGCCAGACCTTCATGTGCGACAAGATTTACATGCTGGACCATAAAAGCAGCGAGATCATCCCTCGCGCCGACATCCCCAGCCCCCGCAAGGAGTGCAGCGCCTGCGCCATCGGCTGCAAGGTCTACATCACGGGCGGCAAGGGCTCCGAGAACGGCGCCTCCAGGGACGTCTGGGTGTACGACACCCTCCACGACGAGTGGGCCAAAGCTGCTCCCATGCTGGTGGCGCGGTTTGGCCACGGCTCCGCCGAGCTGGACCACTGTCTGTACGTGGTGGGGGGTCACACGGCCATGAGCGGGGCCTTCCCGGCCTCTCCCTCCGTGTCCCTCAAGCAGGTGGAGCACTACGACCCCCAGCTGGACAAGTGGTCGCTGGTGGCTCCTCTCCGGGAAGGCGTGAGCAACGCCGCCGTGGTGGGAGCCAAGATGAAGCTGTTTGTTTTCGGGGGCACCAGCGCCAACCAGAACAAGCTGCCCAAGGTGCAGTGCTTCGACCCCTGCCAGAACCGCTGGACGGTGCCCGCCAGCTGCCCCCAGCCCTGGCGCTACACGGCCGCCGCCGTGGTGGGCAGCCACGTCATCGTCATCGGCGGGGACACGGAGTTCTCCGCCAGCTCCGCTTACCGCTTCCACAGCGACACCTTCCAGTGGTCCAAGTTCGGGGATGTCACGGCCAAGTGCATCAGCTGCCGCGCTGTCACCTCGGGGAACAGGCTCTACGTGGTGGGGGGCTACTGCGGGGCTCAGCGCTGCAAAACCCTGGACTGCTACGACCCCTCGTCCGACAGCTGGAGCAGCGTCACCACGGTGCCCTACTCCCTCATCCCCA